CCCACATTCGATTTCTGAACAATTCAAATACAATCTGAATATAGCAGATTGTATCATTAGAATGTAATATGTGTGATCAGTTCACTTTTGTGTTATTACAGTTTCTAAGTTTAAATATTTAAATCCAAAGTGATATACCTACACCAATTTTGAAATGACCCTTTTATGGAACAAGTAATCATTTGCTATTTAGTCTAAACATTTGGCTCTAAAATGTTTTTATGGACAGCCGGATTATAACAGGAGCAGTTATCTGGAACCCCTAAATCCTTAAAAGAGCATCACAAAAAGGTCTCTAAAAGGAGAGTAAGGGAGAAGGAGTACAATGCAATGAACTTTATTTTGTACCTGAAATTGATTTTGTTCATTAAAACGAATGTTTTTATTATATTTTTTATTGTAGTGTTTATTTTATGTATTATATGTTTCTATAATAGATTGTTTGTTTATATTTTAAAGATGTGACTATGATATGCTTCTATGTGTTTTTGGATTACAAAAGAAGAACCTCAAGGTAATAACCTGGCTCAAACTGTACAATTTTCCATAGATTCTGCAGCAATGAAATTAAAACTGTTTCCTTAATATTGTATACTGTACAGTACTTTACAGTATGTGCTATTTGTAATATGTGATGGTTAATAGCCTACATCTGAAGATCTGGGAAGACAGCTAATATAGGCACAATAATGAGTCACCATGTACTGTAGACTATATGCCAGCAATACATCTCTGAGTTCTGTACAGCAGTGACATCGTTATATATAATATCAAGATATGCTATGCCCAAATGATGTAATCACAGTGAGGATTTTGGTCTTCAGGTGTGTCTAGACATTTTTTTTAAATTTACCTATATATGACTGGATGTTTGGTTTAATCTTACTTTATTCATTTTTGCATCACAAAATAATACATTTGACAGAAAGATTAAAGAGGAATCAGGGAACAGGTCTTCCAACAATGACTGGATGTTTGATGTGAACACAGGTGCACTTCACATTTCTTTGAACAATCTTGTTTTATTATTTTCAATGTGACATACAAACAAGAAATACATTTATCAAAGGTTTTGGTGGTATATGGGGTACATGGTTTTCATATGGGTATGTTAGCACATTTTCCAATGTCTGTAGCATATCACTCACTGTAAAAAAAATATCTATGAGTAGGGCATGCAGATTGTAAACTCGAAAGAGTAGGGCCCTCGAACCCCTCGTGTATTGTATTGTTACTGTATTGTCTCATGTACTGTCCCCCACTATATTGTACAGCGCTGAGCAAACCTTTTGGCGCTATATAAATACTGTATAATAATATATGGATCTCTTGCTAGACCCGATCTTCAGTCAGAGGAGAATTCAAAAGAACATTTCTCATGTAACTTATTTATTACAGGTACTTACATAGCGTTGTCAATTTACATAACACTTTACATACTGTATATATATTGTACATTCTCATCAGTCTCTAACCCTCAAGGAGTGTACAATCTAAGGTCCCTAACTCACATACATACACATACTAGGGCCAATGTACTAGTGTCCAATTAACCTACCAGCATGTCTTTGGAGTGTGGTAGGAAACCAGAGTCCCCAGAGGAAACCCATGCAGGCACAAGGAGAACATGCAGCCTCCAGGCAGGTTGTGCTGTGGTTTGCATTCAAGCCAATGACCCTAGTGCTGCCAGGCAGAAGGACTAACCATTTAGCCACTGGGCTAAATGGAGCTGTAAGCTTTCAGCAGTACCAGAGCTGTAGGACTACTGCAAGGAAAGATTCATCCCAAGTTGAGCATCACAATTTTATGTCTGGTCTCTAAGCTAAAATACAGCTAAACCATGTTCCTGACTATATGAAATACATGTGCAAAGATTAGATTAGAATGAGAGAAGAGGAAAATAGAAGGGAATAGTATGGGTTTAGAGAAGGCAACCAAAGATGGCTATGAATGCGACCCAACACAAAATCTCAGTATAGAAGATTATAGTGGGGAATTGGAGAAGGTCGCCCACCTTCATCAACAAAACACAAATAATTGTCATCAATCTGGTCTTCAGTGGTATTCAAATTTCAAATAATATATTGGTTATGAGTTGGGTATGTGTTCTGTAAACAACCCCTATATTTGAGAATTTGAAGATGACCTTTCAAGTTCATGTTTGTTGAAGTCTATGCTGTTATCTGTTGCAATGGTCTTGTGATTCTATTGTATTATGGAGAGTAGAGAAGAGGAATTCCAATGTATATTGATTATGGTTTTTGCTGCATTCAGATGATGTAAGGTGAGTGATTATTTAAACTTTTTTGCAGAGAGGTTGGACACATGTAGGAAGATGGTAGCTGGAGAGAAATTGGTTTCTGTCTCTTTGATCTAGTTCATAAAGCCTTTAATGTTCCTCTAAATGGGGGAGAAACAGGTGTTTTCCCACCTTATACGGACCATTGATCCAGCATCTTGCTGTCATTTCCAAAATGTATTGGATGTAGTGCACTTCACATTTTAGTTTAGCTGACGCCACAGTACGTGAAATGGAATTCTTTTGTGTGTGTTCCTTTAGAGACTGCCAAAATAATTGCTTTAATTTTGCCACCCAGCAGTCACATTCTAGTAAAGCACCCCCTTGGTGTATAATAGCTAAATAATTTTTTGGTTCACATCTAAAACAAGCTGTGAAGACATGAAAAATGTTCCTGTGTTTCAATTGAAGCTGCGTGCACAGAATGTCATCCATATTAGCCTCATTGAGGGTTCTTGATTAGCCCCCAGAGAGATGCTCTGACCCACAGCAACCTATTGCCTTTCATCCTTCTTTGATCCAACATTTAATTGGTTGCTCTAGGTTATGGCACTTTTTTCATGTCCCTTATTAAATAAGCCTGTAAGCGTAAACGTTAAATTTGAGTGAATATTGTTTTTTTCCTTTTATTGCTAATCTGAAATTTTTTGTCAACAAAAAATATCATTCTGAATCTAGCTACATTGTGATATGCATTATACCTTTAATAGCCAACCTTCATAATACCTTTTCACATTAACATCATACATATAATATAATAAGGTACAGCTTAGATCTTCTCTACTGAAGACAGTTGCCTCCTCAGATGTGAGATAAAATCGGCCTGGGACAGAGACAAGACCCGCTCTGTTACTGACTGAGGTATCCAACCCTGTTGGAGATTGAAAAATAAAGCCTAAGTAACTGATTTAGATAGTGTTTTGAGAAAATATGTACTAAGGAAATATAAAGCAGTGATAAGACGTATGTCCACAAGAGGCATGAGCATTTATGCATTTGCTTTTATTTTGTATTTATGTAGAAATGTACTATTTGCAAATTTTTTCACACTTTTTTAGTATAACAGCTGACCCAAAATCTTAAGGTGACTAAAACCTAGTTCACATGGGTCACACTCTTTACGACCCCTCTGAAAAGAGGCTGCCAGGCATTCAGGATGCAATACTGCTGCCTCCAGAATACTTTTTTTTTTTAGTGTTGACAGAATGCAGCAGGAAAGTGTGGAAGGAGGAAGGAGACTGGCAGGATCACCAGGTATTTCTGCATCTTTTTAAGCCAAAAGTATAAAAAAGGTGGATGGGCATCATAAGGACAAAAACCAGCTAAAAGTGATATATTGATTTTTTTTGTGTGCTCAATTTAAAAATGTTTCAAATGTTCTCCTACGATTCAGTACGCTGAATGAGGTTAGTGATTCCCTATGGGCCTTTCTGAACACGTCTGATAAGGAACCAGAAATAAGAGTATGATACAGACAATATGAGGGGCAGGCTAGCCTAACGTCACTTTTTGACTTTTATGCAGTTTTATCAATCAAACAACGAAAACATTGATCATTCTGTAATGCGATGGTGCCACCAATGATTTCAAAAATTGGTCATTTTTCATGAATTTTCGTGCTCAATTTAAAAATGTTTCAAATGTTCTCCTACCATTCAGAACGCTGAATGAGATTAGTGATTCCCTATGGGCCTTTCTGAACACGTCTGATAAGGAACCAGAAATGTATGATACAGAGCTGTGATTGGATACCTCACCCTTAGAAGCCAATTATTGGCTCTGCCTCTCTTAGTTCCAGACCACTGGCCACAAAGTTATCCTATCACATCCAGGTGGAGAGCACTTTAGTGACAGGTAAATATCTTGTGGCAACTTCAGGGATTTCTGGACAGGGGACAATATGAGGGGCAGGCTAGCCTAATATCACTTTTTGACTTTTATGCAGATTTATCAATCGAAAAACGAAAACATTGATTGTTCTGTAATGCAATGGTGCCACCAATGATTTCAAAAATTGGTAATTTTTCATGAATTTTCCAACATGCCTGATAAACAAAATGGGGAGGAACCACGAAAATCGGCCAGTGCCATTGCACCACTAACAGAGCGAAAATCGGTCGATCATTCTTAGGTCTGATTTTCCAATGAAAAATCGTTTTGGAAATCGACCCATGTATGACCGGCCTAAGTCTGCTTTGTTGTGCAGTTGTGTTTACAAGTTATGTTTACATTACAAACATATCATCCCCCTTCCCCATTCACATATCCTAGTGAATAACCAATACTTTATACATGGAGCTTCCTTCAACCACTGGCTTGGTTAGAAATTTGTGCAGCATTGATGTAGTGTTTGGTAGCAGCTTAAGGCTTTGAGAGTTGGCAACTTATTGATTTTTCTGTCCTAAAGGGATTGTTAGCCCCCAGCTAACAAAGACTGTCAATAGGTTGGTGTTTTGCAAATATCCCATCTCATAACTGGAAAAATTGCAAATTACCACAGTGATAGGTGCATATTCCACCCTTTTCCCTACAGTACATAAGCATGAATGCTCAGGCAATCCAACTATACAGGTTTATGTAAGCATCTACTGATTAAAAATATATACAGAGTTCTGCTTTCCTGCACATGTGTCCCCCTTCTGTTGATTATGGCCAACCTTAGTATACTTTTTGCAGTGCAGCATTAAATAACTGAACACATTTACAATCTTACCTTGAGATCTAAACATAGAAGCCAAGTGAAATGTGTTTTCCACCTGTCACCTTCAACGGGCCTTAAAATAATACAGGTGAGTTTGGCTTTTGCCCTGTACAGAAACATCAACGTATTACTTACTTATAGGAAATATTTGTGTAGACAACAAATAAAAGGACATACATCATACATGCTCGCCTTTGCCCGATCATAGGCACAATGAAGGAGAGAGGTGGAAGCACACACCGATAGTTGCTCAATTTCAAATATGACAAGAAGCCCTCAGCTCCACCCCCAACCACACCCCTCTAACATGGTTCACCTCATCATGGACTTAATTGTACAAGTCTACAATTAAGCCCATGATGGGGGAAATGCATTAAAGAGGTGTGGTTTGGGAGTGGATGGAGCTGCAAACATCTTTTCTTGAAATTAAGCAGCTATTGGTGTGCGCTTCCACCACTCTCCTTCATTCTGTTGATAATATTTTATTTGCTTGTGTTGTACGGTAAGGTTTAGAAAGATGAACTCTAGGTATGGATATTTTATAGATATTTATGTTGGTCTAGCTTGGAGCAGTGTAACTATATACACTCACCAGCCACTTTATTAGGTACACCTGTTCAATTGCCTGGTAGCACAAATTGCTAATCAGCCAATCACGTGGCAGCAACATAATGCATTTAGGCATGTAAACGTGGTGAAGACAACTTGCTGAAGTTCAAAACGAGCATCAGAATGGGGAAGAAAGAGGATTTAAGTGACTTTGAACGTGGCAAGATTGTTGGTGCCAGATGTACTAGTCTGAGTATTTCCATCCATTCATGCTGCCTTGTATCAACGATTCAACGGTTCAGGCTGGTGGTGTAATTGTGTGGGGGATATTTTCTTGGCACTAGCAAGGTGTACCTAATAAAGTGGCGGGTGAGTGTGTATATGCCATATTTGGCTGATGCCCCTGGAAATTGTAAATCGCTGAGGTAGACACCACTACTCCAGTGATCTCCACATGCTTCCAGGTCCCAAGCTGAGTGACTGGTCTGCTGTATTGTGAACGCAGAAGGTTAGCTGCTTGATATAGGCATAATTCTAAAAATATTTTAGTTTTTTTTTATGAATGAATGCAAAGTGTCCTCTGACTGTAAAAGGTAGAAAGGGTGGCCTCACCACCCCACCTTGTTGAACAGAAAACGCTTTGCATTCATTTAGGAAATACAAAGCATTCTTAGACTGGAACCTGTGCCAAGCAGCCAATCTCCTGTGTTCACAATTCATCAGGCCAGCCATTCAGCATGGGACCCAGGAGCAAGTGGAGATCACTGGAGCTGCAGTGTCTACTTCAGTGATTTCCAGTCTCCAGGGGTATCGAACAAGCATACTATATACATAGTTACATTGGTCCAAGATGGAAATGGCATTCTCCACTTTACCCAAAGCTACGGTTGAGCTTTAACCTTTAGACCGTATTAGAACATCTGGTCTCTGAACCATACGTACCTAATTATTCCTTTTTGTGGCGGCATCAAATGTGAATGAGCTGCAGTTCCAATGAGGTATAAAGTGGAGCCTGATCTACAGCAATGCTGCACATTGACAAAGTCTCTCTGGCTGATCATGTGTACTGCATTCTGTGCTGTCACTTCTCTTGTGAGTAGTGTGTCCTTTCCAATTCTTTGAAGGATCTGCAAAAAAAGACAACTCATCTGTGTTCATTTCCCGTGTTGTGGAGATTGATCATAAGGATTTTCATTACGGGGGTCAGAGTATTAATCCTAACTTTTGCTCTCTTCTCTATTCAATTTTTCAATGCTGTCAAATAATTGTTTGGAATACCAAGTCAATTAGCAAACTCATTGTAAAAAATATTGAGTGATTTACAGATTTGACAGATCTACTTTGAAATATTCAGCCAACTCTCACAATTGCATCATCACTCCTGATAGCCGGCTACCTTGTATTCCTGACTTCAAATTTAAAAAGCTTCTCATCTGAGGAAAGGAGACCAGGGTATCATATTTTTACAGTTATATATACACCTTATTTTATGTGAAATGTTACTTCTTATACATATCCTGTGATGTTTTCTCTCTCTAATGTGATGTTCCTGCCTAGAATCTATGTTCTTCTATTACCATAGTCAGGAGCCATGAATATTCTGCTGGGCACAGCAAGGTATTTGACAATCACAAGAAGTGAGTAAGTAAAATGTAGTCATTTTGTTTACCCTTTGTTTATCTATTACTCATAGCTACATTGTTAAGTTTAGGTAGAGTTCTTACACAGCAATCATATAATTTAAAGTGTTACTAAACCCAGGACCCTGCATTCATTATATCTGGTCTCCCACAGTACACAGAACATGGAAATGCAATTTTTTTTTTAGTAAATATAAACTGCTAAACACCTTTTCTCATCAGCAGTATATAGCTGTCTTGTGACTTCTATCAGTGTCCAGCAGAGCACTGGTTAAAGCTTGTAGGAGGAGTTTTCATTCTCCCCTGATTGTCCTATGAGGCTGCAGGACCCCTGACCCTCTGTCTGGACAGTGCTGATTGACTCTGTGATGATCACATGCACTCTCCCAAGAAAAGAAAAAAAACCTCTCTAGTAATACACACTAAACTGAGCATATGCAGCTTGCCCCCAATGCTCGGTTCTATCAGAAGATGGATTGGGGACAGTAGAAAAAGGGGGGGATCAGAGAAGACAGCATCGAACATCCTCTTTACACAATGTGTTGGATTAACCCCTTAGGTTCCACTGTGAGTATAACAAGCATGTTTTATTTTCAGATTGAATTTACTGTTATGGTTTTAGTAACACTTTTAAACACAATAAAACTTAAATAAATTAATTGTTTAGTTAACTATATTCCAAGCACATTAAAACATAAGATCTGCAAAGTCTTACAAAGTCTTCAAAAAAGCAGCCAAAGCCTGTGTAAATAAGCCTGTCCCTTGCCAGAATGTTGTAGTCCTTGATGTGAAAGCAGTGGTCTCTCTGCAGGGGTTTGATATGCTCCCTGTTGAGTCTAGAAGCATGAACTTATCTGATCAGAGTGCTCCAGCTTTAAATCAACAGGGCCAGACCTCTGAAGAGAAGCCACTACATCCAGACAGAGAGTAAATGTTCTTCTCTGCACCTGCTGACTAGGGACAGGCTTTTCCACTAAGTTTTGGTCAAATGTAAACCATTGAACAACTTTTGTTTTAATTCACTTTGAATGTAAATTTAATTTCATTTGAAAGTTTCATTGGATAAAGTGCAATTTAACCAAAAATCTAATATTTTGCAGCTTACCAATCATTAGATGTGGTGCATTAAGTTTTAGCCTTTTTTCATTGTGTTTTCACCTGGTGATCTGGCCAGTAACTCGTCTCCTGTATTAGAATACCCCCACTCTCTCAGTCTGGGGTAAGGGTAGTGTAAAATGTACTAGCAGATTTAAATATTCTAACAAATTGAAACCAAAATCCAGCTCCACTTTATATGCAGTTACAGCAGCAGCTTTTACCCTTTTGGGATAAAGGTTTTACATAAATAAATACAAGTTGATCATTGTAAGCACCCCTATTAGTGGTAAATGGTTTGTCTCATCCCTGTAACTGCTACGTCTGCACAAGAACTTGTTCTTAGTTACTAGCAGGATCACCAGGTGAAAATAAAAGAAAGAAAAAAGACTATAAAACAAAACAAGTGCAATAACAACATCTAAGAACTGGTAAGCTACAATATAATACATGTTTGCTTTTGGGTTTAATACCACTTTAGGTTATTAATGCCTGGAGTCTCCTGTTCCTTGTCTATGTGTTGCATATCTGATGGTCTTCATCATCCATGTTCATAGGCCCCTTGTCTGACATGCATTAAACCACGGATGTCAGATGTTAGATGCCAAACAATTACCTTAGGATCTGATTCACCTGAAACTAAAAACCAGGTCCCTCATTTATGGCCAGACAAACTCATACTGAATAGAAGCTACTCTATGCTACATATGATTCAAATTTAAAGACTGAATAAATCCACTGTTTAAACATTTAAATGAAAAAAAAAATTAGAATGCAGAACTGATTGTTCGTTACCCAACCATAACATGCCTTTAGTTGTTAGTTGTGCATGTAGCTCACTGTCTACTGAACACAGTTTCCTAAAAAGTAAAAAGGTTGTCCCTTTACGTAACATGTTTTTTTCCCATGTTTAAACCATTTAGATGTTCAAACTGTTTAAGTGCTGTGCTAAATACAGCATATAAGTGCCTAAATAAGACAAAATTAGAATAGTGTCCAATAAATTCCTTATGTATTTCTAGCTTCAAGAGTCATAAAGCACTTTTTTGTGACAAAATACGTAAGGGAGAAGCCTGTTGTGATGTCATCACATTTGCTTGGAGTGAACTGGAAGCACAGAGTTTTGTATGCAACCCGGGGTTTTACACAGCACTGTTTACTTTTCTTTACCTGAAAGTGCAATGTTAGTAGTTAAATATCAATCAGTTTTCACACAATATGGAGCCTTTGGTTCTCTCTTTATTGGTAAATTCCTGCATGCATGCACTAATGACCGGGAAGCTAGCCCTGTGATGGTATCCTCCATGAAGGAGGACCATTCATGCAGAGGGAGATCCTTGGAAGCTGGGATTGTGGATTTGTACGCATCTTTAAAGTGCTTTATGACTTTTGAAGCTATAGAGTCATATCCATTTGGTAAGCACATTTGAGTCTCCTTTCTTGGTTGTGGCCACATGGAACAGTGTTTATGTGAAGATTAGATTATTTTTGTAACCCTTTTTTGTAACACTTTTTATATAAGGACATTATTGGACACTTTATTCCAATTTTGTATGATTTAGGCACTCATATAGTGTATTTAGCACAGCATATACTGATTTGCTGTGAAGAATATCTTATAGCGAGCTTGCAGCTTTTATTTCATTTTGTTTTGTTTCCATGAGTGCGGTTACTATTTTGGTTGAAAATTTTAAAATTTATTCACATCGAAACAGCTGCCAGGAGGTGCCAAATTTCACATAATAACTTGCAAACAACTCGAGCTCAGTTCCTTTGCATAGATGTATGAAAGAGGGAATATAAACTGCCATTATGTAAAAATAGGATGTCTGCATTTTTGGGCAGCACAGTGGCTAAATGGTTAGCACTTCCGCATGGCAGTATTAGGGTCGTTGGTTTGAATCCCAGCCATGGCACCACCTGCTTGGAGTTTGCATGTTCTCCCTGTGCCTGTGTGGATTTCCTCCGGGGACTCTGGTTTCCTCCCACATTCCAAAGACATGCTTGGAGGTTAATTGGCTCCTGTCTAAATTGGCCCTAGTATGTGTATGTATAAATGTGAATTAGGGACCTTAGATTGTACACCCCTTGAGGGTTAGGGACTGATGTCAATGTACAATATATATGTAAAGTGCTGCATAAATTGATGGCGCTATATAAGTACCTGAAATAAAAAAAAAATAGAAAACCATAGATACCTGTAGATTGAAACTAATTCATTTTAATTGTAGAATATTTTAACTAGGCTTGTCTGGCAATGATCTACTACATCAACCTATGAGAAAGCGGAAAGTTGCACTTTCATTGCTCAGTCTCAATATATCGGCCACAGAATACAAATTAAAAATAAAAGGACATGTGGAGCTGTTGTTTTTAAGGAAAAATAATGAACTGGGGCAATGTGCAGAATTGGTTAGCATTGACTGATCAGAGATATGATGAACATTATTACCTGCACTTTACTGACGTTTGGGTTCCACTGGTCCATTTGTTCAAGTTTTTCAAATAGCTGAGTGTAGATGTGTTCTGGCGGGGAGTCAATTACAGCCTCCGCACGAAATACTTTTCCTATCTTTGGAAATGATTTACTGAGAATCGAATCTCCATTTTTCTGTATAAATGAATTGCCACATTATTAGCAATCTTTGAGTTGGCCCTGATAACTGGACCATGAACATACATAGCAATGATGCAATATGTTATCTGAGTGGTTTCTCTTCAAGTTTACACAATAAAGTAACATTTATAATCTCTGTAGATGTACCACACTTGATATATACTAGATGTTATATTTTTTAGGTTGAAGGTAGCTAAGTGATAATTCAAAGGCTGCTGCAACATTGTAAAGTGTCCCCAAACACTTAAAGTGGAGTTCCACCCAAAACTGGAAGCTACGCATGTTTGCGCCCCCCCCCCCTCCACTTCCATATTTGGCACCTTTTGAGGGGGAAGGGGGGAGTGGGTACCTGATTTTGATAGCTACCCGCTACCACTTCCGGCTCAGTTTGTTAATGCGAAGTGAGCCGGAAGTTTGGCCCCCTCCTTCTTCCCGCAGTCTTCTGGAAACCTTCACAGGTCCTAGAAGACTGCTGGATCAATCAAGAGGCGCAGCATGACTCGCGCATCCGCAGTGGGCCCCAGGCTGTGAAACTGCAAGCTGTTACAGTCTGGTGCCCACAGTTGAGATGACAGCACCATGGATAGTAGAAGAAGAGAAGGGACGGCACGGGTGAGTACATCGCTGGACCCTGGGACAGGTAAGTGTGTGTTTATTAAAAGTCAGCAGCTACAGTTTTTGTAGCTGCTGACTTTTAATAAACACAAAAACGGCAGGATTCCACTGTACAGTGGTTGTAAAGGCAACCTTAATGCATTCTCTGCATTCAAGCAGAGCTTCACCCATTTTGACATTTTCCTCAGATCACGATGCCCACCTGCAATACAGTGCTAAATGGATATTCTAATTTTTTAATTATTTATAAATACCTTTTTTTAATGTTTTTGGTGGCACTTTCGCTCCCAGCCGCCTAGGAAATTACATCATTAGGCAATTCCCTTCGACTCCAGGGATATCGGCATCATCTATCCCAGGAGTCTTAGGGAAGCCTAATAGTGTAATCACGAGGCATTTTGAGACAGGAAATAATGTGATTGGGAGAAATTGTACTTGCCTCTGCTCCTTCCTGGTCCTTTGTTGTGAATGGGCTGCTATAACAACAGGGTGGGAACCCCCTAGGTGTTGGTTTAGCCATGCACTTACCTGTTCAGTCTGCCAGTCTTCCTGTTGCAGCATTGACATAGCATTGTGAAGTGTTTCTTCAATTTGAGTTAAGTAGAACATATCTCTGCTCGACGGCATTGCAGTCATTTCAAGGTTGGTATTGGTATTAATTCCTATGCAAACACAAACAAGTTTCATCAATCTAATATAACACCTTAAATATGTTTACAGATCATTTTACATTTCAGACTACTGGCTACAATGGTCACTAGTAAGTAGTTGAGTCATCTTTTTAAGGATCACACTACAATATACTCAGCAATGCTAAGCAGTAGTCCATAGTAACCAATCACACCTGACCTGTCTTTTGTATGCTTCATCTAATGCTGATCATTTTTTTGAGAATTTTGTTAACAATTGTAGGACTTTCCATCAGCTTTTACCCTAGGAAAAACACTAACTGCAATTTCAGTCATTGCCTAGGTTTGAGTCACTATGTTTGAAAATTAATTTCAACTAGCAATGTGGTTTTGATCAATTTCCACTGCAATTTTGACCTCTCAAAACTGGGACCCAAATGCCCCTGTATGTGTAAGACTGCTATGGTTGAAAGCTGATGAAAAGCTCTGAAATTTCCAAGGGCAGGGCCAATATCAACTATCGCCATTTGAATTAAGGTTTCTTGTCTTAGATTGATACATTTCACTGCTGTACCATATGTATTATGGAAGTTTGCATATAGTAAAAAACTTACATTATTGACATGCTATATAAGTATTTCATGGTTTATTTCCCCAGTCTGTGCAGTAATTAAAATTTTACTATGTACAGTGACGCTATGTATAGCACAAGTATAGTGTCATTTTCTAGTGCAAAACCAAAACCCTGTATACAGTACATTCTAAAGATGTGTATATGTGAATAAAACCATGGGCAGCAAATCTAATCAGTACTAGTGTTCCTTTTTGAATAACTCAAGTCCTTAATGCTTTAAAATCCATGTGTGCAGCGAAAATGTAGAAGTGGTTACTATGCGTGTAAATTACCTTCACTAACCTATGCATAAACATGAATTATTGTTACTGAACGGTTTAGCCAACCCTTCTTTTAGCTGTAATTTTAGATGAAGAAAAGCAGAGCTCCAGATAATAATTTTATTTTCTGCTTGGCCAACTGGTTCTGCTCCAGGATTTTTAAGCTCTTGAATTCACTGTGATGGAAATCGAAAGCAGCAGCTCCTGAAAGTTGTCACCATGATATAATTGTACACAGTCTGCTCTTACAATCTACTGATAATTCTATTCCCAGCACTGCACATGCCTTTTCTCTTTTTGTTTTATTAAAGAGAGTGCTGTATTTAATAAATCAGTGACATGTTCACTTTAAAATGGAACTGAAGGGCTCCCAAATGACTTCCTTCTACACTGCCATTTTCAAAAACCAGGGTGTATGCATATATGCCACCAGCCTCTTCCAGGCATTCGGGAGCTGCCAAAGACTGGAGGCCCATACATGCACATGTAAAAGATTTTCAAGAATGAGCACCAATTCCGGCAGCTTCTGGTGGATGGACAGTGTGATGCTCAGTGGCATTTGTGTGCATGTGTAGACATTCTCAATGCATGTGCACAAATTGCAGCTTACTAACACACTTCCTCCTGGAATAGCTGTCATGTAGCAATCCCAGGAGGCAGCAGAATCTAGCCTAGCCCAGAAACCCAGAAGTGAAGGACAATTCACCCCAAAAAAAAGAAAAATGGTAAAAAAAAAATAAAAATTTGAGGAATGGAGGGGGGGAAATTTTGTTTAAGTGAGTTTAATTCTGCTTTAAATACTCACTCATGTGCAGATGAAATAAATAAAAATAATTTTGCTTTTTACATAATTGGATAACTGAAGTGAACATTCAATCAGTTTATTGTATTACTACTTTACTTACTTTACTCATTTAGTAAATCAGCTGTATTGCTACATCTATCTATCTATCTATCTATCTATCTATCTATCTATCTATCTATCTATAAACCACCCACTAGTCTGGGTCATTTGTATAGCTGGGAACATGCCAGCAATCACCTAGAGATGCCACCTGTTTCCTCCACTTGTTGGCTCATTACTGGCTCTGCTTAGATCTTCTTCTTCTTCTTTCTGATTGAAAGGAGTGGCTGGAACATCACCCCTATCAGGCAGGGCAGGGAATAGGATAGCTGCTCTCTCCTCCCTGCAATGGCAACCTATTGCTGACAGGATGGAGCAGGAAAAATGGGCACTCTCTGAAAACTATCCTCCTTCCCAGTATGGTGCCCACTGTGGATTGAGGTTGGGCTGATATATCACATGACCAGGGATGAAAAGAAAGGGAACCTGACTTAATTCCCGTATGAGCGCAGTGCTAAGAAAGAGTTTGTGAGAACTGCAAGTATATGTAGGGTGGGTTGAGCAGCCCTGGAACTCCCTCCTACCCCAAAAAGCTCCTTAGCCACCTTACCTCCCTCAGAGACCTTCAGCCCACTTTCTTCCAAAGAACCACACAGGCTCTCCTAGTTCAGTACACCCTGAAAAACTTCCCCAGCCCCCTGCCTTCCAATTCCTCTCCTTTTTCCCACTGACATGGACGCAAAGGCAGTCCACCTTGGACTTTTTTTTCTCCCACTCCCACATTTTCACTCTTTCGGTACTTGTTTTGGCCATTAAATATGTTTTACCGTATAAGCTCCACACCCCTATTCTGCCCTCTGTCCCACCTCTGCTCTCAAATCCACAAATTTTTAGAAGTTTCCAGGTATGTGCATTTGCAATAATCACTGTAAGGGAAAGAGTCCCAAAGATGTTTGGTTGATGTAGGCATTCTCAGCTCCAGTGTGCCAAATATATGAAAGCATCTGAAATAAGATATGTCTACGTTACCAAAGAGCAAACAATCAAATGAAAAAATAGACTGGAAACTGACAGTTAGATCCTGATAGTCGGGCTATGAATATACATAGCAATACAGAGAGCCTTTAGTTAGGACATTTCTAATGGGAACTTCAGATAAAAATCTGTGAAAACCTACATGTGGTTACATCATTTTGCATTCATTGATTTTATTTCTAAAACTTCACCTCAAAGCCCAGATATGGGCCACCACAAAATTGTGCTCCAGAAATGCAGTTTCAGTGGATACTAATTATAAAATACTACTCCGGTGGTTCATCACTACTACAAGAAGACTAGCATATAACTTTGCTGATGCCTCTGCATAGTGTTTTAGAGGTTGCCCCAAACCTAGACCCTTCAAATCTGGTGGGCCTGCTTGATAGCCCAAAATTTGTGGCAGCAAGTGCATCAAACCTTTTATCTGAGAGGCTGGTAAGAGGTGCAGCGTGGTACTGCCATTGAAGCTAAGTGATGCTTATGAGCCAGGTGGCTCAGCATTTTCCAGTATTTGTATTCTGCTGAAGCAGGAGAAGATCCCCTGCGGGAATATTTATGGAAGACCACGTTTGAATTCTGCTGTTTTAAATAAAAGTGGGCTACCAAGCCCTTAAAAATAGTTCCTGTCTACCATGGACTCACTGTATAAACCACAAGAGCTAACTACCCCATGCCACAAATTATATAAACATCCTGCAGCTGCAGCCATGATCCTGGTATTGATTTTTACAGCCAGCAACTGGCTTTCAGGTAAAAGGGATCTGAGTAGCTTCACAGTTGCCCAATCACTTTTACAGTGTTCAGAAGATATTTCCCCATGACCTCTGTCCACTGCCGCTCTTTGGCTTTCTGGATCCACTGGGGAGCACAGGACCATTAAATCAGTCAGGTCAGCTGTTCACAAAGGAGATATCTATTACCCGATCTCCTCTGGGAGCAGGGGCGGACTGACCATTTGGAAACTCGGGCAGTGCCCGAGGGCCCGGGGT